CAGACAGAGACACAGGCAGACAGAGACACAGGCAGACAGAGACACAGCTTTCTGTACCTGCTTTGTTCTGTCTCTTGACTCTGCAGACAGGTTGTTATATGTATAATGAGCTTGCGTGATTCCACAGAAGAGCACTGCAACCACACCTGCACAGAAAATACCAAAGTACGTTAAAATAGGAAGGCGGATCAAGCTGTTTATCATTTTAGCTAAGTGGCAAGTGACATTCCTGGCACCAGATTGTCAGGCAGTGAGCATTGCCAACAAGAGAATCTAAACATCTCCCCTGGAGGGAGCATTACCATTGCTGAACTCCCCCCTGCCACCTAACATCAGCATCCTGAAAGTTAGCACTGTAGGGTCTGTTTCTGTGTTGCATGACTATGACCAGAAACTTAACTGGACCAGCCATAAATCCAGGCTTGAGGCTGGGAATTCTGTGGGAAAGAAGTCAAATCTTGACGCCCTGGAGTTTGTTTACCATCTACAAGGCATAAAGCAGGAGTGTGGTGGAATGCTCTACTAAAGACACCATCTGTGACAAAGTGGCTCGCTTTATCAACACCCCATCCATCACCTTCAATATTCACTCCCTCCAGCACCAAGTCACAATGGTGGGAATGTATTTCATACACAAGACGTCCTGCAGCACACTGGTTCCTTCAACAATACTTTCCAAATCCATATATGATGATGGAACAACAGACATATGAAAACACCACCATTTTCACATTTCCCTCCCATCCACATACCAGCCCGACTTGAAACTCCCTCACTGTCCCTTCACTGTCGTTTGGCCCAAATCCTGGACCTTCCTAACAGCACAAAAAAACTGAAGGAACTGCGGAGGCTTTAAATCAGAAACAAAAATAGAAATTGCTGGAAAAGCTCAGCAGGCCTGGCAGCACCTGCAGCGAGAAATCAGAGTTAACATTTCAGGTCAAGTGAGCCTTCCTCACAAAACATTAACTCTGATTTCTGTCTACAGATGCTTTTGTGTTGTGACCTTTCCTCAGAAGGGTCTGTTCTGAGGAAGGCTCACTTGACCTGAAATGTTAACTCTGATTTCTCGCTGCAAGTGCTGCCAGGCCTGCTGAGCTTTTCCAGCAATTTCTATTTTTCTTCTAACAGCACTGTGGGTAAACCTTCACCCCAAGGACTGCAGCGGTTCAAGATGGTTCATCACCACTTTCCCAAGAGTTGAGCTATAAATGGCAGCCTAGCCACACGATACTCACAAGCCATGAAATAATTTTAAAAATCTCAACAGCCAGCGAAAAGTCAGGCTGAACCGAGGAAATACAGGAGCTGGCAGTCTCAGTTAATGGAGACAATTCTATACTAATGGGTGGCAGAGTGTTCCTGACACAAAATTGAGGCAAAGGACATAAATCATAAGCCCAAAATGCAGTAATATAAAAAAAACCAATCACCAAACCTGGTCTGTTCTACTGCAGATAATATAAACAGCGGATTTATTACATCCGTGAAAGTGAAACAGTAAGCAGGTTATACATGAGCAGCAGATTGAGTTGGAGACAGAAACTGACACGCGTAATAAATCACAGCCTCTCATCATACTGACTAGCCAAGCTTTTTCCTGGTTGATACACAGAATCAACCAAAGTTGCAGTCAGCGAAGCAACCATCCATTGAAGGATCTCACCATTCATCAAAATCACCTTTCCTTGAGGCCACGGCGAAATAATGAGAACCTTTGCGAGGAAGAGAAAAACACCAACAATCTTATCCACCTGCAGAACAGCAGCAACAACCTGATCAAGCATCATCCCAAAAGCCTTGCTATTTCAGACTACATGTAGGTTCCAACAAGACACAAAGCATCAAAACATGGTGAACCTCAGAATCTAATTGATTTCATACAATTGTGGGATGCAAACATATAGAGCCCTCCTCTTCTCCTTCACTGTCCCTTTCACATCATAAAGAATGGAATTGTAACCACAAGCTTGATTATTGTCAAGTGCCTATCAAGGCTCTGGATCTTCTCGTAATTTGGTTCTAAAATATACAGATTCTTGTACACCTCTTGGGTCCTCAGAAATGGTATTTAGTGCCTGCGACCTCAGATGAGACATAGGACATTGTGAAGTAAATCTTCCCCTGCTCAACCCCAGCATTGTATCTTAATCTAAAGCTGTTCAATCGCAAATAGTACCCGCATGGCATCTGTACAGCATTCTGTACATCTTACATACCAGACATCTGTTGTGACAACGGATCGTAACCCCAGATCACAGACGCATATACTGAACTTTCAGCCATGACTGCTTTTTATTTAAAACAAAAAAGAGGACTTACAGCCAAAGAAATGACAGAGATTGTAAAAGATGAGAACTGTAATTCAGTGGCCATGTGGAAGACCCGTGTAGATTATCCTTATCCACAAGGGAACCTGGACTATCACACCTGACAGGTGTCAAGGAAGCTTCAAAGAGAAGGATTTGAAAGTAGCAATGCACCACAAACTAAACTCTAAATCACCAGTGAATTATCTCAGATTGTGAAAACTAGGATAGAAAAGACAGAAGTCTAGGTGAATAACATGTTTTGCATTTTTCCCTTTCAGGATGCATCAGAACAGGGGTTCAATAGCTGGTCTGTGTGCACTAGTGGATAAAAGGTGTGCGCTGAATGGGTGCAGCTGAGGAAACCCTGAGCCGTGTCTAAGCTGCAGGTAAGAAGAACAAGAAGTCTCTCTCTCTTCTTGCAGCAAGCAAACAAACCACTGCAAAACAAATAAATAAATAAATAAATCAGGACAGTAGGCTCTCAGCTGACTTGCAAAGGCAGGTATCTTGGGAACAACTTCTCACCGGTGTTACTGGTATCAGGAAAAGTAACAACTGCAACGTTCCATCACCTACTCTTCACAGAACTCGGAGATTGATCCATCTACTTTTTTTTAAAAAAAGCTTTATGGGATTCACGTTCAGATTTTATTGTTGCATGCACTCAAGTAAAGTAGTACAGGAGTACAGTAAGAAGTGTATAATGTTGCCACACACGACACCGTCTTAGGTACAAAGATACCTAGGTACAAAAAAAAACTTTGTTTCTTTTACTACCTTGTATCCAAGTTAAAACAAAAGTTAAACCTTTTAAAAACTTATTTTACGAAGATCAAGAAATAAGGTCATACTTAACATTATAAACACCTACGTTCTGCTCGCAAAAAAGATCCTGAACTGCCTGTTGCCTGCCACTTCAATGCACCACCCTGCTCCCTGGCCAACATCTGTGTCTCCGGCTTGCTAGTGTTCCAGTGAAGCCCAACGCAAGCTGGAGGAACAACACCTCATTTTCCGCTTGGGGACCCTACAGCCCTCCGGACTCAATATTGAGTTCAATAATTTTAGGGCCTAAACTCTCCCACGTCCCAGCTCCCCACCGCATACTCCAGGCATTGTTACCACATAGCCTGCCATTACACACCCCCTGTTGTTAGTCACTAACAGTCCCCATTAACAACTATTCACCCTCCCAGCCTGATCGTTAGTAACTCCTTTGTCTGTCCAACTGTCTTTCTCTCTCTTTGGGCTCTATCCTATAGTTTACTCCCTACCCCACCCACCTCCCTATTTTCTGCATATAAACTGACGTTTTCCCAGCCACCATCAGTTCGGAGGAAGGGTCACCGGACCCGAAACGTTAACGGTGTCTTCTCCTTCCCAGAAGCTACATTAGCTGCTAATGTTCCATTACCCTCAACACAGCATCCTCATCGAATAAAAATCCTTCAATCTAAGTTTTGAATGAATGAAA